AGACGGCTTCGTTAAATATCCAACCCTTAAGACGGCCTTAACCAGCCCTTTCCAACTATTGTAGCTTTCACGCAGCCCTGAAACCCCTATGAAGCCTGCGAGAAGCTCTTCATTATAATGCCCGTAAAACTTGCCATCGAGAAGCTTGTAGCTTATAACTCAGGGTTCTAACCTGCAATGGTATGTAAATATGCCTCTGCGAAAGTTCCGTGATGATGTCGCGAAGGTTGTTTATTTTGTCACGAAGAAGATCATTCGGGATGAAGCAATTTGGATCAACAACCATGTGTGCTCACACATGCATGTATGCTGCCCGCATGGATGGATGCGTGTGCGTGCATGCATGCATGTATGTGCGTATGATCGCATGCAAATATACAGGTATGTAGTGTATGTAGTGTATGTAGCGTATGTGTGTATGCATTGTATCTATGTGTGTATGTATGTATGTATGTATGTATGTATGTCTGTATGTGTGTATGTACGTGTGTTTGTGCGTCTTGTGCATGTGCTTCTGCCTTGAACATGTATGCAGCCGTAGAAATTTGTATGTGCAATACATATGCAGGTTTCTCTTTCTGGATGTCCGTATGTACACATGCGGACATTTGTTCATGCTGTGTTATGTATCATCATGTTCGATCCTTCATGTGACTGAAGGAGGACATTGAAGTGGGGCTTCCATGGCACGAACACCAACGTCACCAACATGCTTGAATCCGTGTTGGTGTACTTGGGTCTTTTGTGCTGTTCTGCGCAGAATGGTATCCGGGACTCCCAGCTGGTCTCCATGCGAGGATGAGCCGGATGCCCAGTATTCTAACCGAGCGGCGTATGTTTTCTTTTTGTTTGCTCCTTGCCAAAAGTTTAGAATCTCCCGGCGAAGTCTTGTTAGTTTCTTTAATGCTGCCTTTCGATGATTTGGTCGCATCTTGACTTGATCCTCGGACACATACAATTTGTCGCCGAGCCTGACACGCTCACGCACTCTGACTATTCAGCCCACTCATACTCCAAATCCTCAAATCGTCTTCTCCACCCTTCCTGCGGGTCCTCTAGGTTCTTGTATGTTGATCTCTGAGTTTCAATGGCGCTTGAGTGCAGACCATGCCATTCGAAGCAAAGGAAGAAAAAACACAAGTGTTGTGCAGAGAGGGCCATCGTCAAGTTAGGCAGCCAAAGTCGGCTGCTTGCAAGTTGTCTTCTTGTCTGTTGGTCGTGCTACGGCAGTCCTCAAGTTGCCGAGTGTGAACCGAGTGTAGCTGAAGCTCCGTGCAGGTTCTGACTTTGGGAGCATTGGTTTCTCTGAGAGCACCTTGGGAACGTGGGTGGAGGCCGACACACTAAAGCCATGCAATCCGAGCACACCTTCTGCCCTTCAGCCGCCACAAAGGTTTCACCTCCAAATTGCAGGACTGCATTGGGACTTCATGCGTGGAGTCCCCAAGGAAAGCATGCTATTGGTACTTGTAGTTGAGTTCGCATCAGTGGAGCCGCTGGAACAACCAGTGCTGTGCCGAGCTCGAATTGCATGCTTGACCGCAGTCCGGCCCAAGTTTCTTCATTTAAAAGTGACCAGGACCCAGCCGTGTTGACTTCTCGCCCGCCATGGCAGG